TCAATCACTCCCCTGACATCTCTCCTGACACCTTATGGGAAGCGCACAAGCCAGTCCTTAGGGGACGGATCATCCAACTGTCCTCCAGGCTCAAGAAGGAACGTTTACAGAAACTGATGCAGCTTGAACGGGAATTCAATTCCTGCTCGCAAGCTTTCACTCTAGATCCGTCACCAATACATAAGACCAACTTAGAGTCTGCCAGACAGGCTCTTAACCTCCTTCTCACTGACCAATGCCGCTTCACCGTACAGCCCATACATTTTATCTTAAGGGTAACAGGGCTGATTCCCTTTTGGCCTCTAGACTCAGACAATTGGACCAGTCCTTTAAACCAATTAAGCTCCGCACGCGCACGTGCACCCACACCAGCAACCCTGTGAAAATCCTTGACATCTTTCAACAGCATCTCTCTGCCCTATACTCTTCCCAGGGCCACTTCTCCACTGCACAAGCAGATCAGTTCTTTGAGGGTCTGGACCTCCCCCACCTATCAGCATCCCAAGTGGCCTCCTTTGAGGAACCTATCAAGGAAGAGGAGGTTAGACTGGCGATCGCCACACTTTCCCGCGGCAAACGCCCAGGAATAGATGGCTTCACTGCAGCTTATTATGTTGCCTTTAAAGACCTCTTAATACCTCTCTTGACTTCCTCATTTAACTCCCTTCGCAGGGGCAAGACCCTGGGCCAGGATTCCCTTACTGCCCTGATCTGCATGATCCCCAAGCCAGCTTCTGATCATAGTAACCCTTCCAATTACAGACCGATTTCACTGCTCAATGTGGACATCAAGCTGATAGCTAAAGTCCTAGCTAATCGACTCAACAAAGTGATAAGCCAGATAATCTCCAATGACCAAGTTGGTTTTATTCCTACTAGGCAGGCGAACGATAACATCCGGAAGATCACCCTCCTGTCGCATGTAGCAATAACTAAGAAAATCCCCTCCATGCTCCTCTCCCTTGACATTAGAAAAGCATTTGACAGCGTCTCCTGGCCCTACCTCTTCTACACCCTACGGAAATGGGGTTTCGGAACCTCCTTCCTGACTTGGATCTCCTCCCTTTATAATAGACCCTCAGCTCGCATCAAGTATTCCGGCTTTTGCTCTCAACCTTTCCCAATCCTTAGGGGCACTTGACAGGGCTGCCCACTATCCCCTCTCCTCTTTGCCCTAGCTTTGGAACCTCTAGCTCAAAAACTGCGCCAATCCCCAGACATCACCGGAATTGACCATGAGGGGGTGTCCCACAAGTTATGCTTGTTTGCAGATGACGCATTGCTCTTCATAACTGATCCTGTCATCACCTAGCCCAACCTGACAGCGCTTCTGTCGGAATTTGAGGAAATTTCGGGCTTAGGTATCAACCACTCAAAATCCAAGGCCCTGAATATTTCCTTACCCCCACAACTAGTGGAATCCCTGGCCAGTAACTACCCCTACTCCTGGAGCACTGACCACCTCCCCTACTTTCGAATCAAACTGACGAGTTCTTACCAAACACTGTACAATTCTAACTATCCTGAGATGGTGACCAAACTAGCACGAATGCTGCGGACTTGGTCCCAATACCAACTCTCTTGGCTAGGCAGGATAGCTGCGATCAAAATGACGCTATTGCCGAAGATTCTCTACTTATTTAGGGTCCTACAGGTTGCAATCCCTAGTCCAACCCTCAGAAAGCTGCAGGCACAAATTTTTACTTTTATATGGGGAGACAAGAAGCCTAGAGTACCTAGACGAACGCTTCACCTGCCAAAATCCCAGGGGGGTTGGCAGTTCCTCACCTAACCAAATATCCCCCCCCCGTTGTGTTGTGTGTTAGTCTTGTCAGGTAACAACATCTGGCCCGCGCCAATGCCAACACTAAGTACGGCCACTAGGTGGTACTCAGATGGGGCACCTACTAGCCTCAATTTCTTGGGGCACTATTACCCTACTGAGATAGAGGCCCGGAGGCTGCTATTATCAGACAAGAGACTTTCTAAATAATAGCCAGGCCTCGTATGAGACGGTAATGCTAAAGGACTGTGGTGCATCAACACCACCAGTTTGAGAGGTGCTGCAGTATTATAAGGTCTAAGTTGTTTATATGACAGTTGCTCCTGAGTAGTAGTGAACACTTCACGTTGCTGTACTAGACCAGATTTGTTGTTTTTCCTTTTTGCACGAACATGCCGTGTGCCACATGTATATACTTGTGTAACCTCGGTAATGGTACCGAACGTTCTCTTGTAAGTCATGACTGTATATGTCTGTTTTTTATTCTTTTACAAATACAAACCAATAAAAACTTATTTGGAAAAAAAATGGTACATACAGTATATTATCAATTCTCCAAGGGTATGCAAACTTTTGAACACAACTGTACTGTACTGATATCAGTAGATTGTACTTAAAACCTATTATATATGGAAGACCATATCTGCATAAAGCAACATAGTTCAGATATAATGTAATAGTACCTTAAGGCAGGAGTGGACAAATTCAAATGGAATTCAGGAGCCAGTCTGTCTAATCCAGCAGGATTTTTTTTAGGTGCCAGCTCCATTGACAACAACTAGAGAAAACTTCAAAAGTTAGGTGCCGCCTGTAATTTTTAAGAAGCATTGGCTACTTGGCTCTTACCTGGATTTGTCCAGCCCTGCCCTAAGGCAAGGGTGTTTAAAGTCTAAATTGTTTCACTGAATTCTCAATTAAAAGAATATGACGTGTTCAGGACCACACTTGGTCACATTTCTTAAACTGGCTAAGTACTGTACATACTAGTGTAATGTGCCTGGTATATGTGGACATTGTGAGGTCTTGTGTGCTGTGCTATATAAAACTGACTAGACTGATTTGAGTTTTTTAACCTCCCTGGCGGTAATCCCGAGTGTGGTTCGGGGTTAATTTTGAGTACCAAAAGCGGTAACCCCGAGCCACACTCGGGATTACATTGTAGTGTCACTTACCTTGTCCCTACGAGCCCCTGGTGTCCTCCGGCCGATGCCAGTATCCGTCTTCTGGGTTCCTTCCCTGCGAGCACCGGCGTCGCAGGGTGGCGGAACCAGCGGGAAACTCAAAAGTGAAAAGTAAACACAAAATGACATACACACAATACATTGTAATCTGTTATGATTACGTTACTGTATCAAACCATTTCACCTCAGTTTTGTCCCTAGAGCTTTGTCCAGTGCCCTGCCTGCACTTTTACCGTTCTTTCTGCCTGGAAACTTGAGAACGTCCATGGCATCCAAAAATATTGCATTCTTGTTTGGACAAATTTCAGTGTTTTTGGTTTGATTACATTATTGAATTAAATGTATTATTATTATATTATTATTTTTTATAATTATTTATAATTATTTATTATATTATAATTTATGATTCTGTGTTTCAAACTTTATCATACCCGGGATGTCTACTAGACTCTTGTTTGTACAGATTTAAGTGAGTTATTCCAAAGAATTACAGGCCTACAATATAAAACAACAAATTTCCATGAAAAACAATATACCGCTTTGACTTTTAAAAATACTGACATAAATTTAGACCGCCAGGGAGGTTACGGTCCATGTATACATTTTTTACTTTTATACTTTTTATTTTTAGTAAACAAACTCACTTTTACAAAATCGTTTTTTTACTACCAGCGTGAAAAGAGGCGAGATAGATGAGAAAACTAAGAACACAAATGTAATAAATAAAAACCCCAGAGTTGTCCTAGCACATTATTAAATATTTTGAACATCGGGTTCTCAGGGGACTGCTCTCTGGAAGGATATCCTTTGTTAGCGGACAGAATTATCACAACAATAATGGCTGAATGATTGATACGAAGGAACGAAGATGAGATGGATAATCCTGTATCAAACTATTAAATTCCTGGATGAAACCATTAAATACACAATGCAGCAGTGAAGGCAGTTTAGAAAATGTATACATTTGGGGTTATTTAATGAGCAAGTGCAAAGAGCAACGATCGCATGCAAAGTGCAGTTACTATGGCAACCAATTATAATAAACTTTTCATCATCTCTCTTATCAGCACCTATGAAAAAATGGATGCTGTGGTTTTTTTTTTTAATTTGCATATATCTATTTTTATTATTAAAAATTCTCTGTAGTTTTAGTGTTATCTGTGCAAAAAAAAGCATGCTGCATACACTGCTGAAATATGGAATCTTTCTGGCACTGATTCTGTGGTCACATTAACAGAATAAATGACATAAAGGCTTGTGTGTGAAAAACATGCCAACAAGAACTGTTTTCAAAATCAATCAGCTTCTAACTGTTATTCCTGCGGTGCAGAGTTGATACCGACACAAACATCCAGATGGGTTGCATTGGGCATCGAGAAATGTTCTTGTTAGCACAATTTTTATACATAACCCCCATGATATTTATCATTTTTATTTGTAAGCTAGTCACCAGATATTAGGGTAACACACTTACCACCTTGTAAAGCTGAACTAATTTCTGGTTTTGAAAAATCACTAGCCAATAAGTCACCCACAGGGCTGCTCCATGCACATTACAGTTGTTTCCCTTGTGAAGCAAAATCTTTGAGCCAGTTCACAATGGGCTGTGGGTGGAATGCTGTTGGTGTCCATACTATGCCCAAGCATTCTTTTTTATTTATCTGGAATTATTTTCAGTGGTTTGAAATACACATTTAAAAATAACAGTTGAAATCTGCAACAAATCCAACTTCCTTTTCCTCCATCCTTACAAAATTACAAGAAGCAGCCCATCAACAGTGATAACCTCTCTAGTATGTGCAGTCTATAAAACTGGAAATACTGGCCAACCCAACCAATCAGCTTCCATAGATACCATTTTTGCACAGATCATTTTGAAGAAAAAAGCTGGCATATGACTGACTGATATGGGTAACACCTACACCATTTCTGGCTACAGTTATACACCATTTTTCAGTAAAATTATAAAGTTGCTAACTGTTTTCTGCTTGAAATAGAATAAAAAACTGAGAACAGAACAAAAGGCTGATGCTGACCTTGTGCTGGACTCACAGCTGCAGGAAGACTTTCCCAGTCAATAGTCAGGGTTGGACAGGGATGAGAAGAAAAGGAGGCCTCAATGCCATTTTCCTGTAGAATTAAATAAAAATAGAGAATCAGAAATATTAGAGTTTCAGAGATACAGCGGTAAAAGAAGAACATTTATTCTGCAATCCTGTAAAAGGTCTCTGTTCTGTCCCCATTTTATTTTAACAGCTTCAATGGATTTGCCTGAACAGTGGTGTACTGAAGTAATGTTGAGTAAATCATTGTGGGACTTTAAATAACCCCAACATGTAAAAAAAAATAAAAATGTATAGGGTATTAGATGATTAGATTACGTTCTAAAGGACAGAAAATCCCAGTATCTAGCAACACAGGGTGCAAAGCATGAAGATCTGGATTTGTGGGAATTTCTCAAAGGGTAAGGTGTAGATTATGAGAATTAACAAAGACAATTCAAGTAGCGTTTGGCTTAGAAACCAGCATCAAGTCCTTTGCTGTGCTGGTGTACAGAACTGCATATATTGTACTTTATACAAGTAACTAAATGAGCCAAAGAAGTGAGCCTAAAAGAAGACAGCATTCTCCAGTCCTGTTTCTTTAGATAACCCATAGTGCTTTGGGAATCTTGTGTTATGTATCAAAAGTTTATTGGTGAAAAAAGAATATATAATTATACACTTTTAAAATTAAATGTAAAAAATAAGTAAAATAAGAAAAGAGAAAGAAAAAGTAGAAGTGTATGGAAGGTGGTTGGCAGGTTCTAATTTGGCACTCCCGCAAAACTACTTCTCCTTCCTAACAGGAAATTTGGCTGACAAACAAAGCAGGGAATTGACATTATTCCTCTACCTATGCCAAGGACTACAGATAATGGAAGATAGGAGATATACTACAGGGGTCTGCAAGTTTGGTTGTGCATAATCAGGAAGGCTAAGGAAGTAAAATAAAACCCCCCAAAAAACAATCAACCATGGCTGTATAAGATTGTATTATTTTTACAAAGTCATAAAGACTAAGGGGGTTATTCACAAAGCTGATCCTTTGGCTAGCTTAGGTTGCGTGAGCCCTTCGGTTCAGTCGAATCAAAGGGCTGCTGTACGGGCTATTCACTATAGCCCGTACAGCCCCCCAAGGTGGCCTGACAAATTACATCTTTATTCATTTTAGTAAATGTATTATTTATTTACATTTTTAAACATTTTTTTCTACTTTTTTCATTGATTTCCTATTCTGCTCAGTACCACGGAGGTACCGAGCAGAATAGCTGAGCCGAATGCCGCTCTGCAGCACTCGGCTATTCACTCACTGCCGGTCGGCCCCTATGTGAATAGGGGCGAACGGCAGTGAGTTAGCTGCTGGAGCTTCGGCTCAGCCGATCCAGATGTTGGATCGGCTGAGTCGAAGTCCTTCTGCACCGTTCGGATGACCGGAGTGCAGCCGAAACCAGCGGATATACGGCTAAAATCAGCCGTACAAGCCTGAAGTGAATAGCTGAACAGCGTTCGGCTCACTTCACTTTGGGTGGGTTATTCACTCAGCTGCCGTTGGCAGCTTTGTGAATATGCTTGTAAGTTTGATACAAGCAGCTCAGGCTACCGTTTATGGAAATAAAATGCATTAGTGATCACTCAAAATTAAATTTTGCAGAGTTTTTAAATATCCTTTCTCCTTGTGGGAGACACTTTTTTTGGCACCACATAACACTCTTCAATGACACCTCCTGATTATCCTATGTTGACCATTGACTTCTAAGTAGTGCTATTATGTGGGTTTTCTTGGAACAATAATATTTGGGTTATTTCTACATGCAATAAACACTATACACTATGTTTTGAAGTCTGTGTGTTCTCTGGGGTTTTAAACATTTTTACATGATAATCTCTTTAGCCTTCTCACTGGGATGTGCTATGCTTACACAAGAAGAAAAACAGTTACCGTAGCAAAAAGCCAATAGAGTATATATGCAGATAAAACATAATTTAGCACAAGAAATGAGTCTGTAATACAGGCTACTAAAATGGTAGTGTCCAACTTACAATGGCCACATTTGCATCCACAAGTCAAGCGTAGGGCAGCATATACATCAATTATTTCTGTACAAATTCCAGTTTAAAAATATCAGGTGACAGTCATATGTATTGTAATCAAAACAGGAAAAGACATGTATAACACAGGGATAGCCCCATTTCAGGAAGCTCCATCTTCATGACCCCCTTCCCTCATTGGTGTTAGAGACAATGGTAGTAATTATAAACCCCCTCTACTTTCATTGGTGTTCAGTGTCAGCTGCATTATTTATAACCAGGACCCCGCACTAGTTCCCAGGTCTTGGCCAACCCATTAGAGTTTGAACTCTGCTGATGCAGCTAGAGAGATTACAGTACTTTTACTTCCTTCTGTAATGTAAAATATAGAAAAATCTACTACAAAGTTACAAAATCCACTGCACACAGGTGGACCTGGGAACTCTGGTTCAGGAATCCTACTGCCAAAATGTAAGAAGCTGCTGGGTAATTTTACCTGTCACCATCTACACATTTAAATATTGGCTTTGGGTATATGTAGCCTTCAGGATATGATAGTACTACTTACAATAGAGAAAACACATACTGAATTCCTCCGAATGCTACAATAGTTTTAATTTTTCACTGTAAGGAACTATACAGAAAAGACACCAATGTACTTGAATTGGAAGGTAGTTTATCTAAGGGCCTTCTTTTAATGGCTCCTTGTTAGGAACTGGATGCTCATTTTAGGAAGAAGGAGAAAAATTTCCTCTTACCAAAGAAGTATCACGACAAAGTGAAAAAAACTTGTCGATTCCCCACCATGGACCCAGTATACATCACAGTTTGGTCAGCAACTACAGCACATATTTGAAAAGATCAGTGTGGTCATATAGCTAGTACCTTCACTATCCAACCACTCGGATAAAGGGACGGATTTTTGATTGACAGCGCTCGTCTCTCGCAGCAGAGGCCACTAGAGACGAGCGCTGTCATTGAGCATTTCAAATCTCCATTCAAGTGTTTGTAATCCTTATGGCAAAAGCAGCATGTACACAGCTCCAGAGACAGGAACCTCCAGGCAATCCCACTGGCAGATATATTACACACACGGTAGATAGATCACACAGCTGAACCAGTGCGGACATATCCTCCACTATTGTGTGCATTGTGTTTACTAGCAGCCAAGCCAAATGGATCACTAAAATGCTTAATCAGATCAGCAATGAGTGTTCAGCCACCTCTGCTGTAATAGTGTTTGGATTTACCTGGAGGTTCCTGTCTCCCCTGTGCATCAGCAACCCCCGTTAGGGAGCTGTGTGCATGCTCCTGCAGTCAGTAACAGGTCCTGTGGGGAAAGGTAGGGGACAGGACCCAGTGAGAAACAGAGAGAGGGGGCGGTGACCTTAGTGCTGGCTGTGCCTCCCCCATAGGAACACCAAAAATTTCGACTTCAACATGGGGGTAGAGTTAAAGCCACCACTGACAAAAATAAAAAACGTGCTTGTAACAGGATGGAGTGCTACATGCACTGATAGCCATGGGGATTCAAGATGTTTTTTGTTTTTACATTTAGGTGATACTTCTTCAAGTAATTAGAGAAATATGAAGTACTGAACAAGAATTATATGGCCTCTAGAGCTTGAGAGAGTTCAGAGAAGGGCTACAAAATAATTAAAGGGATAGAAGGTCTGAGTTATGAAGACTGTCACCAAAAATTAATCTTATTCACCTTATAAAAGAGGCGATTAAGAGGGGGCCTTATTGCAGTCTTTAAAATCATCAATGGGGACCACAATATTTGGAAGAAGTTGTTGATACCGAGAAATGTATTGAGAACACGAGGATATAACAAAAGGTTAGAAGAAAGGGGGTTTGTAAGTAAGAAAGTGGAGTATGTAAATGGTTGTTTACTGTGAGATTAGTAAAATTGTGGAATTCCCTTCCACAGGCAGTGGTATCCGCTGATAGCGTTGATAAATTCAAGAAATTTCTCTTGATGAGTTTCTTCTTTCACTTCACAGACAAGCATATGGGAAGTGTTAGAGCCATATGTATACAGACACACACACACACACACACACACACACACACACACACACACACACACACACACACACACA